TATTCACAGGATTGACAATGCTTTTTTTTATTTTTATAATTTTTGCCCAGAAAACTTTCACATTTTTGAACTTTTCCATCTGATGGCAGTACCTAAGCCTTATTTTTAGTCTTACTCATCAACCTGGCAGCTTCACAAGGCCCATTTGAAGTAGAATACTGATTTTGAAATCAAATCAAAACTGTTAGACAACATTAAAGTCAGTTAAATTTAAAAGTTAACCAAATATAGATTCCATATTTCTAAAAAAAAATAAAAAATGTTGTTTACTTTACAGACCAAGTTTGGAGCCCGTGTGGATTCCACGTTCAGAATGTTCTCATCAACCAATGGAAAGAACCTCCTCTTCAAGGACTCCACCAAATGTCTCCAAGAAATTCCATCTGGAAGAACTTTTAAGGAGTTTTTGGGAAATGAGTACATGGCCGCCATGTCCTCACTGAGAGAATGCAGTGACACTGCTTCAGGTTTGTGCTACTCAAAGTTGCTACTAGGATTTTCAATGATCAGCAAACATGCATTGCTTTTGGAGCCCATTTGAACTCAGTATTTGAAAATGTATTTTCTTTCCTCCCTTCAGATCTGGAGAAATCTTGCACTTTCCATACTTGCCAGCAACCCTAAAGTGTAGTGAACAGTTTCCCATCATTCCATCATTGATTCAGCAACACTTCCTACATTCACCATCCAAATCAAATTGCGAGCTGATCTTGCAACCTGTTTTTTTGTTGTTGTTTTTTTTTCAAAATAAGAACAGAAATATTACACACTTAAGATAAACAATCATGGGATCATTTCATTTTAGCTTTCTGTTAGAAAAAAATATCAGACTTCTAACATGACATGATTGATTTTCCTTTGTTAACCACTTGACTATTTCCAAATAAAACTTCTCAAAAACTTTTTTGTGGACCGTGTGTTATTTGTTGCTACACTACTAAAATGTATGTTATCTACAGTATTTATTCATTTTTCACTTAATTATAGATGCACTTTTGAAAAATGTTGGTTGCGCTGTTTGAATTAATCAAATTCATGAACAGCTTTATCCATTTCAAACAATAGTTTGCAATGCATTTGGTATAATTGTCCAGTTGGAAAACTTCACCCTCCTAGTTGACTTTATGCAGATCTGAAAAGAAGGTAATTGTTTCTTTAACCGTTTTTGCTCTTTGTAAGTACCAGTAGAAGCCAAAATGTTCCACAGCAGGATGCTGCCTTAAAGCTCAAGCTCTACAATTGGTAATGTTTGTAGGTTTCAAAGCCTTATCTAAACATCTCAGTGGAAACATTTTTGTATTGTTTGACTGCACAACCTTTCTCCATAAGCTGTTTTGCTTGTGCATCAGGAGAGGGCCAAACTGTAATAGTGAAGCTAGATCCATGTTTTTTGAGCTCCAGCCTTTCAGCCCTTAACCAAGGTAATATTTCCTACCTTGTGGTATTATTGTGGTCTTATATGTTTTATGATTTTCTAAACCTTTGTGGATTCTTTCTGAATCTTCCGAATCAGGATATCTTACTGGAAAATTTTGTATGCACAAACATGAAGTTTCTATAGTTAACGTCAAAAACCATCATCAGTTCATTCAAGTAGGCTGCAACTAACGATTATTTTGCAAATTGATTAATCGGTGGATTATTTATAAATTAATCAATTAATAATTGGATAGCCAAAGATTCCTTAACCCCTAGAACCCTACGAACCCACCGGTGGGTCCAGCTGTCACGTGACCTCGTAATTTTAACAAATCCCCAGTATTGATGTAAAAAACACATTTGGCACAGTTTGGTGACATTT